CACTCAATTGCTAATAAAAAGTAAAACAATTAACCTAGACAAATTTTATCCTGAAGACAATTTTCATAACAAATCTTTCAAGTTAAGACAAATGTTATAACTTTCAAGTAAGACAAATGTTATGTAGCTCTCAATCAATATATTTTTTTTCTGCATAAAAGTATGTAGTCAAGAGCAAACAAGCATTATTATATGTAAGTTTGGTATGCTTGTCTTTTTGTTGTTTAACTAATTTTAATGCTTTAGAAACGTACCTAAACAAGAGGCTAAGATACTGCTGTTGTTTTACATTGTCGACTAGATTACACACACTCACTAATTTCAATTAGAAAAGAGGTATGATTATATCAATTGGTTCATGTAGTAAAAATAATAATTAAAGAATATGCAAGTAACCTCACAAACAAAATATAATGGAACCCAACCCCACTGCGACCTAGTCCTTTGCAGCTAACAGCAGCCTTGTACAGGGTTCCCAGGCTGTACAGTCTTTATGGGAGTAGGTCAGACCTATCTTACTCCAGTGGAGTGGCCGGTGCGCTTGAACTGCCAACCTGGTGGTTAGCTGTACAGTTTTATACCACAGTCAGGGCTCCTGATAATGATATTTAGGACTACAGAAAATCAAAGAATTAATATTTTAAAGACTACCCTGAGGAAGAAAGCAGCGCAATACAGTGACTATTATACAGAGTAAAAGGATAAGAACTTACATTTTATTGTCTTTGGACAGAATCGCTTCACTTAATAGAAATTAACTAAGGACAAAAGAAATATATTTCTTCTACTTTTAGAAGCCTGAGTGCCCATCATCAGTTATTCTTTTTTAAAAAAATCATTTTATTGGGGGCGATCATCAGGTATTCTTAAAGATATTTTAAGAATCTGTATTTCAGTGAAGAGTTAGTCTACTTCAAAAAAAAATTAATTTGAAGCTGGCATATCCTACAAGGAAAACAAGTCATATGTCCTAGTAAAAGGGAGTTTTACTTTTTTTTTAAAGACGGAAAGTGATCTACTGAAATGGATTTTTAAAATTCATTGTGTTTTACAATACACAGTGACCATGCTACTTTCAGTTCCTATTAAACTTTCCCTCCAGATCTTTCACAATATTCTTGGAATTAAAACATTCATATATTAAACAATGAAATAATATTCATTTAAATCAAATCCATATCAAATCTACATAATTATTTTCATTAAAGAAACCCAAGATTAGAAAAATGTGCAACTTGAAAAGGGGTAAGTTCTTGATTTGTTTTTCTCTTTGTCAGTGCAGTGAGCACGTAAGTCATAGAAGCACCGAACTAGTATTTGTATCATTTATGAAATTTTTCAGAGTAAGAACAATTTAGTTTATATTCCATAAACTGTAATATTTTGTTAATTTAAAACTTTCACTTTTAAAGTCATATATGTAAACTTAATGGCATGGTTTAAGCTCTCCACTTAATATAATTTTATCAAAAACTTTAATCTTTTTATTTTCTTAAGATATCCTATATATTAAGTTGAATTTTACTTCCATTGTTGATCTGTAAAATTAAAAACTCTCTAGTCCTTAAATTTTGACAGCTCTTTATGTCTTACTATATTGATTTGTGTATTCAACTATTTTGTTCCTGTTTGCCTAAAAAATAAATAGAGGGAGAATTTCCACTGTGTGAACATTATTTCTACATAAACTTAATTTATATACAGAAGCAACACCACCATAAAAAATAAAATAAAGCAAAAAACTGCTCCAAAAACTTTAAATGACTATTTTAAACAAATATTGTTATTACTTTTTAGGCTTTCAAGTAAAATGAACAAGACAACAAAGGTGTACCAGTAATAAACAACAATATCAATTTAATAATATCCTAAATATCGGGAAAAACAGAAGGATTTTTTAAAATTAGTACATTGGGTACCACAATGATCAAGTTAAATAGAAAAGGAAATTAATCCTTCATGTACTAATTTCGTGTGTTTGTGGGGACAGTGAAGCAAGTTCAATTTGATTACTTCCTCAACTGTGTCTCCACATTTTCAAAAAAATCTGTGCAATGAAAAATAAACTCCTTTTAATAGTTTCATTTCTCTGGATTCAGATTTCACAACCTTTACTTATTTCACAATTGAAATGCCAAAGAAAGCTTCCTAAAAGAAAAGCTTCCTAAAAAGAAAGTTTCTCAAGCTCTACCTAAATAGGTATCATGTGATTATAATTAATAATCATATACTATTTTCTTTTTCCATAGAAGTAAACAGTTAATAGCGTAAATGAAATTCCTTCTTATTCCCTTGTATGTATCCAATCCGATTCTGTAAGAGAGCATTTTCTCAGTGAGCATTTTCTCAGTGACTATAAAGAGACAAGTTAAAGAAAATCTGATAAAGCTTAAAATATGACTATTGGTTCACTATTGTTTCCAATACTTCTCCTAAAAACAATTATGAGGAAGAGGAAGAGACACTGCAAGGTTAATCATGGTCAGCTTGCAACACACTCCTCATCGAATCTACAGGTGTCAACGTGGGTATAAATCGTATGAAGCCACACCTCAAATGTTAACAGCAAATGTTTTCATTCTCATGATGAAAGGATCTCTTTAAAAGTACAGAAAATCTGCGGGGGACAACACCAGTGACACAGTGTGGGAATTGCGCCTGATCTGACCCCGC